TCTTCAGTTGATCCAAAATGCTGCTGCCAGAGTCTTAACTGGAGTTAGTAGGAGAGATCATATTTCTCCACTTTTAGTTTCTCTCCATTGGCTCCGTGTCAAGTCCAGAATAGAATTCAAAATCTTACTTCTAACCTACAAAGCTCTCAACAACCTGGCTCCATCTTATAGTACAGATCTTATTGTTCCATATTTTACTAACAGAGCACTTCGCTCTCAGACCGCAGGTTTACTTGTGGTTCCTAGAATTTACAAAAACAGAATGGGAGGCAGATCTTTTAGTTATCAGGCTCCTCTCTTGTGGAACCAACTTCCAATCTCTGTCCGTGAGGCTAACACATTATCCAGTTTTAAAACTAGGCTTAAGACTTTCCTTTTTGCTAAATCCTATAGTTAGGGTCGGCTTGGGTTTCCTGAGCTGCCCCTTAGTTATGCTGCTATAGGCTTAGACTGCTGGAGGACAAACTGACCACAATTTTCACTCTACTACTGTCTTTACTTACTCTGCTCAACCTGTTTTGTATTTGTAATTATTTTTTCTATCCGTAACATGTGTTTTTTGTCTTTCAGATACACATGGACCTATACCTGGACCCACCATTCTGTGTTCGTTTGTCTCTCCTTCCTGTCCTCTCAACCAGCCGGTCAAAGCAGATGGCCGCTTGTCCTGAGCCTGGTTCTGCTGGAGGTTTCTTCCTTTTAAAAGGGAGTTTTTTCTTTCCACTGTTGCCACTGTGCTTGCTCAGGATGGGAGACTGCAACGAAGCCAAGATTCAACTTGTCTGCTGGATTCCTTAGAGAACTTTACTAATTGGCTTTTATGTATGTGAATGTTCCTGTAAAGTGCCCTGAGACAACTTTGATGTGATTTGGCGCTATATAAATAAACTGATTTGAATTGAATTGAATTGAATTGAATACAGACCACCGGTTACTTTCAGTACAGGCACATTTGAAGGTATAGTATGCATACCTGCAGGTCACAACCAGATGTTCTGTAAATGCAGCTTTTCAGTCACAACGTACACATTCATAAAGCATTTAAAGATTTTTTTTTTTCATTCTATTATGAAAGGGGAAAATTAGTTTTACCATTTGAACATTGTTTTCTAATGAAAAAGACTTAAATCCAGGTATTCAGACCAGATCCTGATTACCATTGTCCAGTGTTTATTTTTTGTTCACATATTGCAGTTTTTCATTCTGTTTAAAGAATGTAGATACAAAACAATATAGTAAATTTACAGTTGGGTCAAAAGTAACTCAAAAAATGCCCAAACATTTGGAAATATTAATAACTCTATTAAGTAACCTTAATGGCAAAGGTTTAAACCAACATACTAACATTTTCTGAAAATATGTCTAATAGAAGTAGAATCAGTGCAATTCAGGCATCTACAGTCAGTTTGAGGCTTCCTAATGTCTGCGTGCAGCGTTTATTAAATTCCCCTCAGTTTTTGGACTCACTACTCATTGACAGAAAAGATAGTGCACAAAACGTTCATTAAAAGAACTTAGGAGCCATCATCTTAGCATTTACAGTGCCTATAAAAATATTCACCCACTTGGATGTTTATGCTTTTATTGCCGTCTAAATCATTCATGGTCAATATAAATAGGCCTTTACAAAAAAAAAAATCAAATTTCTATAGAAATTAGATTTCACTCTGACGACTGCTGTTGATCTCAAGGTTGATATATTCTGGAACTATAGAAATGGAGTAATATATACATATATATATATATACCGGTGTGTATATATTCATTCAACCTTTATACAGGTTAGTGTCGTTGAGTCACAAGGACTCATTTTCAAGAGAGACCTATTTTAAACAAAACCACAGAAATGATACAGTACACACAACAATAAACAGTCATAAAATGCATATAAAATGAAAATTAAATAAAAATAGTGGTATAAAACAAAAACAAGATACATCATGAAACGGGGTAAAATACTAAAAAAACTGGAACGTGTCTGCACTGATTTTTACAGTCCTACAGAATCTTAACTTTTTGTTTTTAACCTATATTTTATATTGATTTTCCTAATACTAATAATGTTAATGTTATATTTTTTATGATTTACAGCTTGTATTTCTTGTGGATTAGTTTAACATTATAAACGAAGGCTGTTAATTAAAAGTGTATAGCCTGGTCCTCCAGCAGGGGGGGTTGTAACCCCATAAACATCCGGTTTGTAAAGTGGGAGGAGAACCAACAGTCACCGCCGGGGGTACGCCTCATATGTCTGCCGGAGGAGCGCATGGGCCGGTCTTCACTCGTCACTGGCCATCGCTATCTTGGATGGACGCCGAACAGACTGGCACTGGTGCATCCCGCATTTTAACTACTAGGTATATATAGCAGCGTTTCAGCGTTGTCTACATCTTTTGAGTGCGGAGCTTTTGAGGTGAAGCTCGGGAGCTGTCGATCCGTGTACAATCGGTACCGGCGTGCGGAGGCGGGGAGATGGAGCGGTGGAAAGGCAGAGTGGCCCTGGTGACCGGAGCCTCGGTGGGGATTGGAGCGGCTGTAACCCGAGCTCTCGTCCAGCATGGCATGAGGGTGGTGGGCTGTGCCAGGAACGTCGACAAAATTGAGGTAAGCCATAAGATAACTAGTGATAATGGTGTTTTTGTATTCGGGCTAACTGACGTTAACTACCGGCTAACATTAGCGTTCCTGTCGGAGCTACAGACCTTCATCCTCGGTTACTGCGAGTTATAAAGTCCCTGCTTTTGTGAAACATGGGTGAATAAATACATACTGTCATGTGCTTTTTAAAAGGCTCAGGCCAGGTTAAAAAGACAAACTATATTTTAACAATCTTCAATAAATCATATCACTTTCATAGATAATTTCGATATTAAACGTCAACGTTAAAAGTATAGCTGAAACTCATCTAGCTAGTGATGCTAATGTACTACTATAAATTATTTTATTATTGTCAGACCTGTGCACACTATATGATGTACATACAAAATATCTGAAATACATAATGCAATATGTAATATTCCTAATGTAATGCTATTCATTAATTCCATTTCAGGAGACAATGATTCCTCAGTATCACATTAACTTAATGTGTATCCTTTATTATCATCTTTGGATTTTGCACTTCACTTTTGGCAGAGCCACTCAAAGGAATACAAGAGATCAAAGTCAACAGCACGTCAAATTATACTTTAAATTTCTGTGATAGCTGTTAAATAGATTGTGATTAAAGTGTATGAGGAACTGAGCAACATTCACTTATGCATCACATTTAAGAAGCACAATCCTCAAACCACAAAGTGCTTATGCTAGAGGAGTAAAAGACAAGTTTGGTTGTTATTCTGTTCTATCATGACTGAAAGTTGCTAAACAAACTGCATTTGTGTGAATGCTGAGTGTTGATCAACTTGTTGAAGAGCTGAAACTGGATTGTTCAAGCTAAAAGAAGTGGAGCACTAGCTAAAAGCTGCAAGTAGCTAAATGTTAACTTAAAGCTAAGTTGTCATAGCACGGCTGCCTAAACTTGCCACAGAGTAAATAAGTCACAAAATAATAAAGTCACGAAACATTAATCTCTACCACCATATTTTTTAAATACTTTGGCTGAATAGAGGTCTATTTGAGCCTCTAAACTGAGTTAATTTGGTCAAGCTCCATCTAAATTCTGTCGTCGGCTACAAAGTGAACAACTCCACCTCATCATAGTACCACACTGTTGCCAGTTTATGGATGGATGGTTGTTTTAGAAGTAAATACAAGTGCTGCCGTTGCAAGGTTTTATTAAAAATGGTGGTTTTGCATCTTGTAAAGGAGATGCTATCATGATTGACATTGCTCTCTGGCTAATCAACGGCCTGTGGTCTGCTTATGTCAAATCAATCAACCTTTATTTGTACAGGTAAATCCCATTGAGCCTCGAGTCTTCAGCTCGGCTCGCTTAGGACCTCGGCCAAGTAAGTTTCTGAGATCAGAGCTGGGCAGGAGCTCCCAGTGGAAAGACTCTGAACCTGTGCCGTGCCAAACCGAGTAGGGGCGAGTCAAGCCCATGTAAAAGGGCCATAATTGTGACCAAATTGTAGCTAAAAAACATGTAGCATAAGAAGACAAAAATCCAACAAGTATGCTAAAGCAAATTTCAAAGAGAACAATGTTTGCTTGTTTTTTCAGAGAAACTGATACGTACACTTGTAAATAACATTAACAATTTTGAAATGTTTTAAAAGTTACAAAAAACAAAAGTCATAGCACCTGTCTCCTCAGTGATCTGAACAAATGGCTAATGAATGAATGAATGAACTTTATTTAAAAAGGGACAATTCACAACTCAAACATAAATGTCACTATTTGATGCACTGTACCAGATTATAGCAAAAGCTAATTTGCATCTGCAGTCCCAAAGTCCCTAAAGAGGCACAAAGTATACAAAAAAAATAATATTGCTAAAAATTTACAAAAACAATCACGCAAATATTAGTGGGAATGCTATTAAATTAGTCCCTGTAGCAATGACACTTGAACTGAGTATGAATTTGTTACCTTCATGTTGAACCTGCACGCTTACATCCGTCATCACATGGCTAACAAACTATGATGATGTGTGTTCAAAAACAAAATAAATCTTGTTCATTCCATCCAGTTTGGGCGCATGTTGTAAGACCAGCTATGGTGTATGGTTTGGAGACAGTGGCATTGACAAGACGAGACAGAACTGAGGATGTTGAGGTTCTCTTAGGAGTGACAAGGATGGATAAAATTAGGAACAAGATCATCACAGGTACAGCACAGGTTGAACAACTGGGAGATAAAGTTAGAGAGGCCAGACTGAGATGGTTTGGACATGTCCAGAGGAGGGACCGTGGGTATATTTGTAGAAGGATGTTAGAAATGCAGCTGCCAGGAAAAAGACAAAGAGGAGCTATATGGATGCAGTTAGAGAGGACATGGAGGTAGTTGGAGTGAGGTCACAGAGGACAGAGTGAGATGGAGGAGGATGAGTTGCTGTGGCAACCCCTGAAGAAAGCACGGGAGGAAGGACAGGTTTGGTACGTTATTGTGGCAGGAGCACTTTGCACTTTGATGGCGTATCAGCTGTAGGACAAGAGGACACCTTCAAGCAGCCCTGCCCTTCCAGCTCCTATCTAATCATTAGCCTAAAGGAACTGCACCTTGCTGGCCTTGTCAGCTAATAATTAAGCCTCACCATTGTCACTTAACTGATTCCAGCTCAGTTCTGTCAAAAGCTCTAAGTCACTCACATCATCGCCTCGTTATGAAGACACAAAAATGTTCCTGTTAAATTCAACTTGTACTGCACAATCTCTGGCAGGTGAAGACGGACAATAATGTTTTGGCGTTACTGTCTGTGTGTGTTTGTCTGTTATGGAGCATCTATTTGTCCAGTTATTTGTTTTGTAGTTGAAAAGTGTATGTTTTCCTATTAGATACTGGCTATGTAAACGTGTTGCTTTTTTGTTTTGTGTTTTATACATTTGCCTTCCAGCGTAATCAATTATCACCTGCTACAGAAAGCTGAAGGTGGATAATGTTTTGATGTTATTGTCCATGTGTGTCTGTCTGTTACCAAATTATCTCATGAACCTCTAGACAGATTGTATTAAAACTTAAAATTGCATCTAGAACCTATTAATCTTTGGAGTCAACCTGGTCACTTCAGCCTGTCCTTATCAAACATCAAAATGTCTATAACTTAGTCAGTTTTACAGATATTGAACATTGGTGTGCAGTGTTTTCCCCTAGTTAGTCAGAGATTCTTTGTCATTCGCACCACATGTGGTACATGTAAATGGACTGTATTTATATAGCGCCTTTCTATCTTATTTCAAGATACTCAAAGCGCTTTACACTACAATCTGTGTTCTCATTTACCCATTCATACAGCACTCTACTAGATCTCTACAAAGCTAACTGAACAAATCATTCTAAAGAGACTAATCAGAGCTTTGTCACATTCCTACCCCGATGGGACACACATCAGAGGCTATGAGGGATTCAGTGTCTTGCCCAGGGACACTTCAGCATGTGACTGTTGGTGGATTCGAACCCCCAACTCTCGCATTGGAGGACGACTGCTCTAACCACTCAGCCACAGCCGCCCCATGTGGTGAAATGAAATTATGTACACAGGGTCCCAGTTATATCCAACAATAAAATGTAAAAGAAAAACAATGATAACATCTAAGATATGAACTCAGAAAAACATCAACTAAAAATACACTAAGCACTAATAGCATAAAAACATTACATTGAACAGCAGCACAAACATAAACATGAGTCTGTGTGAGTAGATGAGCATGCCTCAACATGAAACAGATCAGCAGCAACATTGAAACAGATCAACAGCAACATGATGTAATTTTTTCACAGTGATTCTCCTGGTTTCACGTCTCCAGCTCGTACAAAATGCTGCAGCTCGGCTACTAACAGGAACTCGCAGGTTTGAGCACATTACTCCGGTTCTGTCCTCCCTTCACTGGCTTCCTGTACGTGTCAGAGTTGATTTTAAAATTCTCCAGCTGACATTCAAGTGCATTAACGGCCTCGCACCATCATACCTCTCCGACCTTCTTCATCCTTATACTCCTTCTCGGGCTTTGAGATCATCAGACCAGCTGCTTTTGGCCATACCAAAAACCAGGCTGAAGCTCAGAGGAGATCGAGCGTTTTCAGTCGTGGGCCCTAAACTTTGGAACAATCTGCCCATCAACATTCGACAGGCCACCTCAGTCTGTGCTTTTAAATCTCTCCTAAAAACACACCTATACTCATTGACATTTAACACAGGATGATCGGATTTAGATCTAGTTTTTCATTGATGCTGATTCTGTTTATGCTTTTGTTATTATTCCTATTTAACACAAGGTCATCTGATCTGATTTAGTATTTCATTGTTTCTGACTGAGTTTATGCTTTTTGTTATTATTTCCTTTTACTTTTGACACACCGTGATCTGATTTAGTATTTCATTGTTTCTAATTATGTTTTCGGTTTTATATTTTTATTCCATGTGCTGTAAATATATCTTGCTACTTTTTATTTGATGATGTGATATTTTTGTTAAGCACTTTGGTAACAGTTTCTGTTTTAAATGTGCTCTATAAATAAATCTGACTTGACTTGACTTGACTTGGTTAGAGATTCATGAGTCTAACAGCCTCAGGGTAGAAGCTGTTCTTCAATCTAGTGATTCTACACTTAATGCTCCTCAACCTCCTTCCTGAGGCGAGCAGGGCAAAAAGTGTGTGTGCTGGGTGAGTGGGGTCCTTCTTGATGCAGGTGGCCCTCTTCCTGCATCTGGAGGTGTAGATGTCTGTGATGGTGGGGAGGCTGACTCCAACAGTCTTCTGTGCAGCCTTCACCACTCTGCAAAGCTTTTCTTTCTGCAGCTGTGCAGCCTTCATGCCACATATTGATGCTGGAGCACAGGATGCTCTCCACTGCACACCTGTAAGAGGTGGTGAGGACTGAGATTCCCAGTCCAGCTCGTCTCAGCCGCCTGAGGAAGTAGAGTCTCTGATGAGCTTTCTTGATCAGGCTGGTGGTGTTGTTGCCCCAGCTGAGGTTGTCATTCATATTTACACCCAAGTACT